CACATGAGCCCTGAGTCGTGATCCATCTCGTCTACGGAAGGCCACTTTGTTGAAGGCATCTAGATCCTCATTTACCTTGTCACAATGCTGGAATTTTTTCATCGGGAGAGATTTAACGACAAATAAAGGGGGACTGGGAGGGCCGTTTATCTTCCATGTGCTGTGGTTAGTAAGCTGTGTCCTGAGGTCAGGTCGAAATGACCTGAAATTTGGACCGGTTTAGCAGGTTTGAAACCTGCCACTGGTCCGCGTACCAGTGCTCTGTCGGTTGTCATCAGAAATATTCACATTTGCGTGGGGTGACATTTAGTGAGCTGATCTGGTTTTGAGACAGAACGGCTGTGATCAGTCTAGAACTCTGATCACAGCACATTTACGTGATTTGAGGCCTCAGTCATTCGCTTGTGTTAACTGTAAAAAAATGCAGGGTTGTCAGGTCTGTCTGGAGAAAGCCAACACCAGCGTGGGCAAAGTAAGCCGAAACACGTATGCTGTGCCCGAGGTGGCTCATTGTCCTGATCGGGCATCATCGTCATCACAAGATCCACTACGGGTCTGAGTCGATAACGCTATGGCATAAACAGGCGCTCGGCCAGCAGCAAAAAAGACTATGTGATCGCACTGCTAGACTAGTTAGAATATAACGAGATAATGATGCGGGGAACGGGTGGTGTTCTGGGCTAGTTAGGAGGGCCATTAACATGGACGGAGGTAAAATAACCCAACCAATCACCTTTGACGAAGGTGTTTAGGTCAAATATTGAAATAAAAGAGCCGGCGTGGATCATTAAAGAGAGTCATCAGAAGGAATATGCTGGCCTAGCTTCCTGTAGGTTTCTCATTTCCAGTACTGGCTTGTAGCGGGTTCACGTAAGGCAGTGTGGGGACGGTTGTGGGGTACCCGGTCGGAGCAAAAGTGTCATGCTGCAACAGGATTCTTGGGTGCAGAGTCTGCAGGTGGGTCTGCAAACAGCAGAGAGAAGATAAATCTCGTGTAGTAAATAGAGACAGGAATGCTCCGACAAAAGTAGAAACAACAGACATACAGAAGTAGGTCTTTCAGAGGACTTCAAAATAAAGACCGAAAACGAACGCGTAAAGCCGAATCTGCGTTTCAATGACCATTTAAAAGCTCATGCTAGTCACATACGATGGCTACAGTTCGGGAACTGTTAGAATTTAACTACATTTAAACATATTTCTGCCATGTGGACCCAAAAAGGTTATCTTTTCGGGGATTATAGGCTCAACTTACGAAACAGACTACGATGGACAGGAGACTGTCACAACCACATAGTCGCTTTCACTGTTCCCTTGACTTTCCGTCGCATAAAAAGCTGTTTTTTCTATCCAGTACTAGTTTAATATCCATTAAAAAGGTGAACTGGTGAATATTGCCGCCCATACCGAAAATTTCCCAAACAGTCGGTGCGTATTGGTGGAACCGTTTCTATTATCCTCTTGTGTGGCACGTGAAAGACGATGACCCCCGCATCCTGTCAGACACCGCACCTACATTAATCCCCCGTTGACTTAACCCGATCAGGTCACTGTTGTACGGGAGAGGGAAAAGAGAGTGAGGTAGATCCAACTGGGATCATAAGCTTAGTTCCTCTCTGAAACTCGAAGTGAAACCAGCAAAACAAACTAACAACATTTCTCTGCCCAGGATTCAGGGTCAGGCGGCATGTGGTTCCCTCCTAGTGTGGTTTTTTATGGGAGCCTCAGGCGTTCCATATTTCGGGGTTGGGCATGACTGGCTGACGACGGCTAATAGGCCAGAAACGGCCATTCCAGGCTCCCTTGTCTTTGTCGGTAATAACATGCTGCCTATTTTATGGTGTTCTCACTTGCGTGTGCTCCGAGACACCCTCAGTCAAGCTTGGTGCTTGTGGAGTTACGAACCAGGTTATGTATGACAGACGTTGACCGGTTGTCTACCTCTGTCAGCCTCTGCACCCGCACCCGTCTTGACTTTGTTTTGCCATCAGAACGTGCTGGGCATAGGGGGACCGAATGAGGCAGGTGTGGCGCAAATGTGCTTCATTATAAGTACACTTATGCACAATTCACCAACGTACTTATCTCCCGAGGCGGTGGTGGACCTAGTCGTTTACTACGAACGAACTATCACCGATCATCTACTAGAAAGCCTGAATTCCCTGACTATCGGCCTGATCCTATTACTGACTCCACAGTTAAGCAGTTGCTTTTGGAGGCGCAGTTTGTCCCCAAAATGAATATAGACTTGTAGAAGTGTTTCACGGTAGACAGAATAGTGGACTCGTCCGTGGGAGACAATGAATCCCCAAGGAAAACCTGGCGCATTCGGAATACCAGAAAAGATAAAGAGCTCCTCACCATTTACAGAAAGGCATTTGGGCTACCAGATTTATAAGCTTGTAAGCCTGCGAAAGTGTATACATTGGACAGATTGAGCCCAGAGGCAGATACTGAGGAAGAAATTACATTTGAACGCGATTTGTGGAAACTGCTTTTCGATCATGTTTTTTCAACGGATTTTAAAATAATTCTCGGAGACATCCTTTAAAGGATGAACGTTCGCTTCACTCAGTATTGATTTCGAGAATCAAGTGAAACAAAAGCAGTCCATAAGGGTTTCTATAGGGTATTATTTCGGCATGCAAGTGCTTCAAAAAAGAATGTCCCCACAGGCGTTTTACCAGACATTCGGTTGTTGTACAATTTGAACGCAAGCTTTTCCGTGTGCCCCGAGTTAAACTGGTGCACACCTGGAGGGTAGTGAAGGTACTTACAAATGATTTTGGAAACTGATAACCTACACTTCTGGCTCAATTGGGCATGCGCAAACAGGACGCGTTGCTTTGAGGACATCTGAAAATGGCTCAGTGTATTCTATAAGTGTTACCTCAATGATGCTTTGCAGGAAGAGGAATCTCTTTTAAAAGACAACAAAACCTTAGACGTAGGCGTCGAGCACGAAACATAAGTAAGAATACTGCATTTTCTTGTGATCCCAAAGTAAAGGGAGCAATGAAAACCACACGGACAAGGAAATACTCTCAACTAGCGCAGCGAGCTGTTCGTTTGATCGGTTCAGGAAAAGCGACTTCGAGTTGGACGACTGGCCTCATAGCACAGCGGAGAACATCTTAGGGTCTCGGACCTCATGGAGTTGATGCCTACGTTGAAGTACGGACGTCTCACGGCGACCCTACTAGTAGCGGTAAACATTACAATGTTTGCTTATCGGAGACGCAAATTACGATGTCTAGGAATCAGAAAAACAGGCTTACCAATGCCTCAAAGACATATTATACTAAGTGCTACCGTCCTCTGATGTCATCTGCTGGAAGATGTTGCAACAAGGTCGTAACTCGTGAGGTTTTCGTCTCCCCATGTAGCATTCCCCCAGGTTTCTTTCCTACAGCCTACTATTTGTTCACATTTCTTTCCAGTCATTTACGTGAGAAGGCGTCCGACACCAAAACCGATCGCATAAACAGTTCATGTCGAAGATCCTATGCCGAAAAGCCAAATACCTATAGTAGAACCCAAAGGCTCATTTCGAGAGACGATGGAGAACGCCAGTTGCCCCGAGTAACACGCTCGCCACTTTGTCGGACGGAAGCTGACATAAAATGTGTTCCTTCTTATTTTTTGAATAATATCACTTTAGGTGAGAAAGCCCAGTACCCGTACAAACATGTTCCACCAAGACCCGCCTAAAGCTTTCCTGCACAGCCTCAAGGACTAGTAATAAGCGAGGTTGGAGACTGTCTCCGCAGCGATGTGTGTGTGGTAACTGCTAGTCTGCTTGGTATTGTCAGCACCAATCTTAGGCCGAAAGAATTGGACGTTTAACCCTAGCTCCTGCCTTCGGCGACAACCGAGTCTTAAAGCTCCAAACACCCGGTCTACGGGCTATTGACTGACGACTGGAGTCGTGGGGCGCGCGCACGCACCTGAACTGATTCGAGGACGGAACACGCTCACATCCGACGCGAGACCATAGGGTCCCAGCCGTCACTTAAGTTTTGACCTAAGTGCGAACCATGTGTGGCTGCTGCAGTGACTAGAGCCTGCTGAGGCAGGCCAGCGTCGGCGCCATCTCAGACGCGCGTGCGCACACGGTCGATCTCCTGCCCAGCCTCGGTGATCATGTGATCTTTTCAGCGAACTTAAGAGCGCTGAGGCTATTGCACTCGTACGTACGTGCTGGCCTTTGTGACCGTACGTTCCGGGCTCACATAGTTTCTATCGGATGCCACCTGGGGTGACCTCTGAGGTATATGCCGAGGGAAACCACAATGGTTATTTGTGGCATATTTCTGCCATCACCCAGTCATAACACACACCAGGCCGAAAAGACATGGAGTGTAAACCGGAGTTCAGCTGACAAATCTCCATTCTAGATGGCCTACGATCCAGAACCGACTCACTAGTCAACGAGAGTGCCGACTGCAAAGTGCTTCTGAGTTAAAATAGGCGGATGTCCAGTGGGAGGATGCGATGCCAGTTGGGATGAAGCGTGAAGGTTGGAGCTATCGCTAGGTTCTTCCTCCCAGACTTGCCTCCGCTGACCGAGGAAAGCAAAAGACAGAAGTCTCTCGAATTTGCGACAATTTCTGTCTGCGGACAGTGCAATTTACCGAGTAGGTGCCGCGGGAACGGCATCTAACATCTTTACGTCACACTGTAGCATGGAGACGGAATTTCGCCTGTGGTACAAGCTTCTTTAAACAGTATTATGGTAGGCATGTCAAAAGTCGGTAAGGTGATAAATGGATTTATTGCCATATTTTTGACAATGACAGTTGCGTTTTTGGCGACCTCGATGATGAGGACAGCGCCAACGACCACGATAATGCCATCGATAAGTAACACGACCATCGTACAGATATTGCTGTCGGGTTCGCTGCAATTATGATTGATGGCTGAAAACCATATCTATATACTTCTGAGGGCTTCCTGGATTTAAAGGTGATAGGCGTCTCCCACTGTTTCGGGAAGCTAAGATGAGGTTCCGCGATTATGCCAGTACTGTCAATAACCATCTGGAACAGGGCCTTCTGCCGGAAAGCCAATGCGGCTTCCGTCGTCATCGTGGGACCACGGATATGATCTTCGCCGCCCGTCAACTTCAGGAGAAGTGTCAGGAGATGCGGACCCACCTGTACTCTACCTTCGTGGACCTGACGAAAGCCTTCGACACGGTGAATCGTGAAGGACTGTGGAAGATCATGCAGAAATTCGGCTGTCCGGAGCGATTCACTCAGATGGTGCGTCAGCTGCACGACGGTATGATGGCGCGAGTCACGGACAACGGAGCTGTCCCAGAGGCATTCACAGTGACCAATGGAGTGAAGCAGGGCTGCGTACTGGCGCCTACCCTCTTCAGTCTTATGTTCTCTGCCATGCTGATGGACGCCTACCGCGACGAACGCCCCGGGATCCGCATCGCCTACAGGACGGATGGTCACCTCCTGAATCAACGGCGGATGCACTTCAAATCGCGCGTATCCACAACCACCGTGCACGAACTCCTCTTCGCCGACGACTGCGCCCTGAACACCACCTCGGAAGAGGAGATGCAACGGAGCATGGACCTGTTCTCCGCCGCCTGCGAGAACTTCGGTCTGGTCATTAACACGCAGAAGACGGTGGTGATGCACCAACCGCCACCCAACTCAGCCACAGCCCCCAACGCGTCGCCGCAAATCAGCGTGAATGGGACCCAACTGCAAGTGGTGGAGAACTTCCCGTACCTGGGCAGTACTCTCTCCCGCAACACCAAGCTCGATGACGAAGTCGCCAACAGGATCTCGAAAGCCAGTCAAGCCTTCAGTCGCCTCCAAAGCACAGTTTGGAATCGTCATGGTCTCCAACTGAGCACGAAGCTGAAGATGTACAAGGCCGTCATCCTGCCGACACTACAGTATGGGGCGGAGACTTGGACGGTGTACGCAAAGCAGGTACGCCGTCTGAACCACTTCCACCTCAGTTGTCTTCGTCGCATACTGCGGCTGAACTGGCAGGATCGAATCCCGACATTGATGTGCTGGAACGGACGGGAATCCTCAGCATCTACGCCATACTGAGACAAATGCAGCTGCGCTGGAGCGGCCACCTGGTGCGCATGGACGACGAGCGACTACCCAAACGACTCTTCTACGGAGACGTCGCGACGGGTTCTCGCCGTCAAGGAGGCCAGATTCGCCGTTACAAGGATACCCTGAAGTCCTCCCTGAAATGCCTGCAAATCAACCCCACCAACTGGGAGGAGCTCGCACTCGATCGACCGACCTGGAGGAGGACAGTGAAGACAGGCGCTGTGATCTACGAAGCCAACCGCATCGCTGCCGCCAAAGCGAAACGTGAAGCCCGCAAATCACAACTTCGCCCAGTAAGCAACGCCGCCGCACAACCGCTTCTAACGTGTCCTCGATGTCAACGGACATTCCGGGCTCGAATCGGACCTTTTGGAAATCTTCGGATTAACTGCGCCTCTCGAACGGCACCAACCATCGTCCCCCCGCCTGCCTCTTCCTCCTCCTCCTCTCCGCCGCCAACTAACTCTGACAATTCTTCTGACCCACCACTTCCATCATCCTCCTCCTCCTCCTCCTCCTCCTCCTCCTCGCCCACTGCTCCAACGGCGGCCGCTCAGGCGACTGTCCCACGCACAGCAACCGACACTACCACCACCTCCCCCGACTCCAGGGATGAGGATCAGGACTACACCTGCCCTCACTGCGACCGTACCTTCACCTCACACATCGGCCTGGTCGGTCACTTGCGAATCCATCGCACAGAGACTGGCGAACCAGTGCCTGGAGCACCCACCTATACCCACCAAGCTCGTCTCAACTGCCCACACTGTCCTCGCACTTTCAGGCATCGCATGAGCCTATTCGGCCACATGCGCATCCACGACGACCTGCGGTAGACAACCGCCGGCCACACCACACATTCACTCACTCCCTACCTCCTCCACCACCACCATCACCCCACCAGAAATCAACACTCACATACCTCATGCACCCAACTGCCACCTCCCACGCAAGTGGAAAGTCCGCATCTCGACTCGGTCCCCATGCGGCTTCGGCCGCACGGGTGACTTGAGTCCGAGACTATCCCGACACGTCAAGCGTCGTGGATAGGAAGGTTGCTGATTGACGCCCGCGCTCGGTTCACGCAGTTCGTCGCGTTGTGTGTGTGTTGTGTGGAGTGGCGGACTGGTGGGCTGGGAACGGGCTGAAGCAGCACCTTCCACGGCACTCTCACGCAAGTGAGAGACACGCCGTTCAACCCCCGTTGTGTGAAATCCTGGTGTTTTGTGTATGGGGGGCCAGGTCGTGCCGTGGCTCGCGCAGTCATGGTCAGTCGACCATGACAGCCACCGCGCCCACTCCCTACTCCAGTCTGCTGACCGGCTCGGACAGCGGCTGGGGTGTGGGAGTGGGAAGGGAGAGTGAGGTCGACGACTCAGCGCACTTTCTCCTCACTATAAACAATCTGACGCGCTTGAAGCTATCACGGTGCGCTAAAAGCCGTGGCTTGGAAGGTTGCCAATTGACGGGGTACCTTGGACCTCCTCCTTGACCTGAGGCGGTCTGAGAGTCAGGCTGCAATGGCTCCTTTTTAATGTGGCCTTTATGGCACTCCCATCACAGTGTGGGATCCGAGCCAGGCGTTGGCGGCACGCCCAGGTGCGGTTTCGGCCGTGCCAGCCTCCAAATCTCTCTTGTGTTGGTTGAAATCCTGGTTATTTGTTGTGTGGACCAGGGGGTGTGGTGGAACGCCAAGGTGAGGATCCGTCCGAGCCATCCCCCTGCGGCCTCTCTCGTCTCCGGTCTTCTTGACTCTGTCTTGATACCGGGCTCGGGCGAGGGAGGAGGAGGGAGTGTAGGTAGATGCTACGCAAGTCTACCGGCACTATAAACCCCTGCGTAAGTCACCGTCACTGCTCCCATTGCTGCTGCGACTGTGGGGCACACGGTGGACATCATCGAAACCGATGGTCGAACTGTCACTGTCAATACAGCCTCTGGACACCTGCCAACAGAAGGATCTAGAGAATGTACCGTCATAACTCTGAAACTTGCGTCCTAACTTTTTTATAGCTTTAGCAGTCGTTAGTCCTTTCCGTGCACTGATTAGCCAACAGAAGAGGATAAAATTTGAATGTTTAGCTTGAATACTCCACTTACGCAATAGCTTGTTATTACAAGAGTTCTTCCACCACGAATTGAAAACGACGTTATTGTGAGGGTTCGTTGTCTAATGGATCGTTCCAGTGAATTTCGTAACCCTCCGTGTCCCAAACTAGTGACCATATAATTACGATGAAATCCTTGAACCTTAGAAAACGACAATGTCGAGGCCGTCCTGAGATTGAAATTGTTTATCCGTTTAACGACTGGTTAAATGCTCACTTTTACCTTCTCATATTAAGACTACCTTTCTGAGGGTTCAAGACTCCTTTGGATATGATGCCATGCAGACAACAAAGGCAGTAGAAAATCTTGATGTGTCTCACCACAGTTTCTGGGAGACGTAATATGGTGACTAAAGAGAAAGTGCACGATCCAAGCTAAATTACAATAAGAAACCGTCTCGGGTACCATGTGCCTGCTGTTCCACCTTGGAAGCGTCAGAAAAATGAACAAATGACCTCCGAGATCGTTCCATCTTCTCAGACAAGCCCCTCTTTTGTGTAAGACTTGACTAATCATGCACTACCACAACAGTCTCCTCCAGTGCAGACAAGTAAATGCGCTCACCCCGAATGAACTAAGATGTTTGACAATGTTGCCATGTAATATTCCGGATTCGGTACAATCACTTACATGCCCTATGCAGCAAATGCTCGCGAATAAGTGTCTTGTCAAGTGAGGCGTCAAACATTGTAGGTTTCGTTCCAAATGGCACAGTGTTTACAAAACATGTGGCACGGAACACAGCGGCAGAGCCAGAATATGGGTAAACTTTCAGTTCGCCAGCAGTATGTCACCTCCGTTTGTTTTTCGCACTTTTAACACATTGGTGATCACAGGTCATCACCAGTACCACCTCAGTCGCTAAAGGTAGACCGAAAGACCACGCCTAAAGCAAAAGAGAGCTGTCTGACGGCTACCCCACCACCGTCAGCGCGCCACTGCGATGCTGACTGAGATGAGGTAGACGGGAAAAGGACTCATCAAACTGTTTATACCAATAACCTCGGCCGGAGCAAGTCCGTTGAAATGAGCTAGTTTTACTCTACTAAGGGGGAGAGAGCGAGAGCGCGCGTCAAAGTGTGCGGACATTCAAGAGTAAGCGGCTGAATTTCGAGCACACCAGTCTGATCCACAGGAGACGCTCGCTGATGGAGACGAAGGTGTACGGCAATTTTCTGCTCGCTGTAGACAGATATATCACCTCATATTTACAGCTAATCAGACGGCACGTTGAGATATAAAACCTATGGAGAGTTAATAATGCTTTTATTTCACCGTCTCTCTATATTGTGCTCGATGATTCGACGGTTGGTTTCGACAATGTCCACCGTGTGCTCCACAGCAGGGTGGGAGCAGGGACGGTGACTTGTGCGTGAATTAGTTTATAGTGATATATATTATACTCACAGAGCCCACAAAAACGTCAATTTGGCGGGCCGCGGAGAGTCAATCAGAAGGATCACAGGACATGCCGAAACAATATCTCACATAAAAACAACACTAGAAGCAAGAGGGCGAGGGGGCGCGGGGCAAGGCAGTCCAGTCTTTGGCAAATCGAAACTTCCTTAAACATCCCGGGAAAGGAAAAAAAGGTATTAGTCTCCATAGGACGGTGGGTAGGTGCATCACGACAGTTAGACCGTCGTTGCCGACGATGTCCACCCTGTGCTTCACAGCGAGCTGACAGCAGGCACAGCGACTTGCGAGTGAATTAGTAGTGATAGTAGATTTGCGCTGCATCCACCACGCTCTCTCCCCCTCCCCCGCCTGGGCTCGGTATCAAGACAGAGCTAAGAAGACCGGAGGCGGGGGAGGGCGCAGATGGATGTCACGGCCGAGCCCGCACCTTGGCGATCCACTCCACACCCCCTGATATACACAACAAATGACCAGGTAGTTTCATAAGTAGCAAAATACCGCACTGCCTAACAAATATAACTGGTAACAGGGACAGCACGGCATGTCGAGACTGTTGTTTCTCAAAGCCAGTGAATAGGGTACTGGCCTCATCTCGTTTTCGTGCATCTGATTCTGACTATTGGACTGTTCTTATGGAAAAATCAAGGCTGCCCTCTGAGGACGTAGTACTAGGTCAAAGAGTCTCAGCCCATCACCCCACCAAAGCACAGTATGCGGAGAAATCCGTTTAAGGCGGAGAAAATATCAAACGACACGTGCTTTAAGCTTGTAGAGCGCTGATAATTTCAATTCTGCCTCACATCTAAACCCTTTTCTGGTCAGCAAAATCGAAGACGCGACTTTTTAGCGAAGGAGAATAGCGGGAGGGGAGAATACGGATAACCCTAGCACTACGTCTGTAATTAATGTAGAAATTCACGGGACACCTGAGTCAGCACTGATGGACATCAACCGTATAGCAAATAAATCATGGTGACACAGCCTTCAGGTTAACTAATGTGACACTTTTCAAGGCAATGATTTAAATGTTCTCAGAGAGGAGGCAGGAGCGCTTGCTACGCACGTACGTACGCTGACCGTACTGCCGAAAAAGTGCTCACTACAAGACTAGGGGTGAGGAATGGATGAAGAGAGTTGTAGCGCGTTGTTTGTAGGTCGTGTTTATTCTCGTCCACTGCTTCGGATCCGGCCGCCGATAACTGCCACTGAGGAACTGCGCACTTCGGCGTAGGCTGTCTTTCCGCGCTGCAAATTACGTGCAGTTGAAGGAAGCTAGTAGACCGCCGCGCACCAGTCTAGTTTGGCAGCCACAGAGGTGATGCCCCAAAAGAGTCCATGACTCATCAGAAGTGAGCGACGCAAACTTTGCTCCCCTAACCTGCCTCTTATGGACTAAAGAGATCTAGTCTGTCTCAAGCAACTATGACTTTTGCATGAGGGTTCAATTCTTCCCGGCTTAGGAAAAGATCACCTGAATAGTCTAAATTCGGCGCAATTGGGCGCAGGCTACAAATACAGCTAACATACCCAGTTTCTATGTAAACCTTATCATTTTTCGCTTGTAAATACCTCCCTTGTTCGGACAGGTATGAAAGCCCCACTCCCACACTCACATATCGACGCTTAAGACCACATGACCTGTACCGCAGACAAGAAAGCGAGTTTTAAAGTCCGTATTTGCCTTGAAATTTACTTGTATTTAGTGACGACGCACTCGTGTTATTTTGACTTTAAAATAGTCACTAAGGGCTTCCTGAACAAATTCTCACCTCCGTTTATGGAGATAAAAATGAACACTTGCATTTTTTCGTGGGGAACGTCTGTGTCACAAATTCCAACCAAATGCTTGACTCCGATAGCAATCATCCTCTATCACACAAACGCGATCGTTTCTGTACCCTCTTTAAATGGGTTAAAACTCACTACAGTACATCAGCCGAAAAAGATCTGCACTATTCTACCCCCGTGACCTCTTCGGGGATAATGAGCACCCAAGCACTTTTGGTGTGCAGACTAACTGCCCGATAAACGCATAAGGGCCGTATGAACAGCAGTCTGGAAAGTCATGTGTTGACGGACGCTGGCCACGGACCTCGCCTGATGCAGCCGGAGAGCCTGTGACGAATTACTAAGATCTCGACTCAGGTCCGCAAAGTCTGCTGTGATGATGATGGTGGCCGCAACTATGTCTGGGAGCCCAAACGAATACTGAAACTCCGTACGCGGAATACTGGCTGTGGCCACACAGACTAGAGTCCAGCCTTCGAGGCTCAATACAACTCCGACAGACCAACCCTGCGTACTACTT